GTTGCAAAGTCTAGACTGGTAGCCTATAAAAACCTGTGTAAACCTACAGATGGGGTCCAGAGCTTGGAATGTTAACTCCTCTGGACCAGCTAGTGTAATAAACCTGAATTCTCCAACCCTCCAAGTGCTGCTTGGTCTCTCACCTGGATCCAGGTTGCTGTCACAACTGAGCTTATAACAATGAGCTGTAACACTGAGCTGTAACGCTGAACTGTAACACACTTTGCTGCAACAACAGCACAGCCAAATTTCAACTAGCAGAGATATTTCTGCAAGTGAGTAATTTGGCTCTGTAGGTTCAACAAAAGCAAGCAAACATAACAATTTAATAAAATATGCCAATGCTTTTACATAAGGATAAGACTTGCCAGTAAAGTAATATCTGGGATGATTTAACAACATTGAAACTCATAGAATTTTAGAATGTGTAGATCATCTACAAAAAATTACATGTAATTATATATTATTTTTAATATGTGTATGTGTGTATATATAGAGAGAGATGGAGAGAGAAAGATTTCTAAAGAAAAGTACTAAAATGGTGACATTTGTGGAATCAGGGTGAAAAAAGTTTAAGGATTCTTGGTACTATTCCTGTAATTTTTCTGTATGTCTAAAATTACATCAAAAGAAAATGTTAAAAAAAAAGGAGAAGGGGAAGGAGAAGAGGAAGAGGAAGAGGAGGGAGAGGAAGAGGAAGAAGAAAAGAGGAAGAAAGAAGAAGAAGAAAGAAGAAGAAGAAGGAGAAAGAGAAAAGTGAAACATGAATTTATTGAGCCTGTGGTCAGAGGGGAGGCAGACAGCATCATTTGGTCCACTTAAAAATTCTTCTCTTATCAAGACAATTTGTGACAGGAAAGCTGATCATAATTCTATGTACACACCTCACTTAAGGTTTTTGTTGGCATTAGATTCTAATTATCTATTAATGTTTTAACCTGCCAAGAGGTGGCAAGTAGTTTGCTAAAGGTAAAGACCTGTGAAGTGGACAGATAAAAATTGTTCCTGCTATTTTACTGGACTTAATCAGGATAGAAGTTCTCTTAACCCAGCAGCAGTGGCCTATATTCAGAGTAATGGTATATTCTAGAACCATTTCGGACACCACACCTGGCTTCATTGAGACTTTTCTCTGAATGTTTCACAGAAAAACAAAGCTCCTCAAGAGCTCCATCACCCCTACCAGACTGGACACAAGTGGACTAAAAAGGAGAGCAGGGTATTCTAAGAGCTTTAGAGTGAAGAGCTGGAAGGTGGAATCTTTTAGGCAGAAGGGCTGATGCTGATTTTAATGCAGGAATTACCAGTTCAAGCAAAGTGGCTCAGAAGTGGGCTGAGAGCCATGGTACAGTAGGAACAGCCAGATGAAACAGCTGACATCTTACCATGATAAATGACAGCATACTTCTAGGTCAAGGCTAAGGAACCATTGACAAACAGGATATTTGGATGAAAAATTACTTTACTCACCACTTTGCCACTGGAAATTCAGAAGAAAGCTGGTTTCTGAAGACCTAATATGGCCACCTGCATTTCCTCCCTTCTTTCTCTCTGAGTCAGGCCTAGTGAAAGAGACCTTGTAGAAGGCAATTTCTCAGGCTGTTCTTAGACACCCCACTTCTCATTAGTTGGTTGGCTGTTTGATTATTTACAACACATCCAATATTATCCTAAGAACTTTTGAGTGATGCAGCTGTTATAGACAAACCCCTGGAATGGCAGATTTGGGGAAGATGTAGGTGGAGGAAGACATGGCGAAGATTCATCATCAACTTCTACTCATGCACTTCCAGGTGACTAGGCCAAGACACAGTTTTCCCCTAACCTCCGGTCAGGAAAGTCCTATGGGGAAAGTTACCAAGTTGACAATGTTTGGACACCTTCCATCCTTGTTGGAAGCCTTCTTCAGGTATTGGTGTTTCCAAGCTGGTGTTCACTACCTGGTCACCTTGTTGCCCTGGCATCACATGGCTTCTTCCTGTACCATCTTCTCTGTACCATCCCCCACTCTAGACTCAGTTTTGTCTTTATTCTCCATCAAAAGACATCAGGCAACTCAAAAAGCACCTACTATGTATCAGTACTGCAGTAGGCACCATGGTTGCCAAGACAAATATCTCACACACTGTATCTGCTCCCTGAGGGCTGTTTCTCTAATAAAGAACATGGCCTCATGCCTGTACCCAATTCAACTTAGTAAGTGCTGTGATCATTATATGATGACGTTTATGTGACCTCAGAGGAGAAGATGACTAACTTGAGCTGAGGAAGCTGAAGACAGCATCCAAGAAAGGATGTCATGTTAGGTGGATCTCAAAGAGTGGGAGATACAAGAAGACCATTCTAAGTGGATGAAAGAGCACTCCCAATGTCAGGGAATCCTAAATCAGCACCTCTCCCAACCTCTCCAGAAACTGCGAGGAGAGGCAGCCAGGGGCCACCCAGCTGTTCAGTGAAAGAGCTGGAGTCAGAACCAACTCTGTTCACACTCAAGCTAGTGGGCTTTCCACTACCTGTTGTTGGAGCCATTCCCTTTGGGTTGCAGTGTCTTTAGATAAAAACAAACCTGACAAGTGATCATGTGCCCACATTTTTATCTTTAAATTTCAGTTTCTCTTTCTACTCTGTAACTTTGATAATAAAGTTTTAAATTACAGTTTAAATTTATAACTTCCCCTATCTTAAAATTTTGAGTTAAATTTCCTCTACTAGAATGTTTGTTCTATTATATTTTCTAACAATTTAGAGGATACATGAATTCTGGTTTAAGAAGAAAGGACACCAGCCATCAGTTATGACCTTTTAGGAAGGGCAAAATGGGGCCATCAAATGTCCTCTCTTATGTTAAATGTTTGAACTTTTGAAAACTTTGAACTCACCATTCAATGCCTTCTAAAGTTTAACCCCTCTCCATGTAGCTCAATAAGCAACCAAATTTACCAATTTCAATAAAATTCTGATATCGCATTCTGTATTGTAAAATATTTTGATCTTTAGCTTAAAAGAAGCATGTTTATTATAGTCTTGAATATGCTATCAATATTCCTTTAACTTAAAACAGAGTTAAATCTGAATCCCCTACATTCTGTGGATATGAATTACAGCATCTCTCCACTTGTACATTTTCTCATTCCATTAAGTGTATCATCTAGAGCAATAAAAATACGATCCAAAACACATGTGTAATTTAATTTTTTCTAATAGCCACATTTTAAAAAGTTAAATAAAACAAGTAAACTTAATTTCATAATACATCCATTTGATTCATTATATCCAAAATGTTATGATTTAAACATATAATCAATATATAAAATATTAATGAGCTATACTACATTATTTTTCTTGATCTTGTACTGTCTTCGCAAAATGATATATATTTTACCCCTATAGCCTATGTCAATTTTTAAAGTAAAATAAGTGGAAAAGAATCCTATCAAAACAGTAAAGTTGTGTTTATTGGAAAATATTTCACAGTACTTCAGTTTTAACATTAAAATATATAAAGTTAAATAAAATTTAAAACCCAGTTCCTCTATAGCACTAACCATATTTAGTTGGTGGTACCATATTGTGCAATGTAGATCTAAAAGTGAGAGTGATGGCAAAGATAAAACTCTGGGGAGAATTCACATTTAATCTCAGTCAGCCTGAGGGGTTATGTATAAGAAGGGGTCAGAGTGTAAACATAAAAAGGTAGTAGAGTAAAAAAACATGAACTTTGGATTTAGACTTGATTATCTCTGTTGCTTTTTATCTGTAACCTCTTCACACTCCAGTTTTCTTAACTGTAAAGTAATAATACCTGTGTTATAGGGTCTGTAAGATTAAATGAGATAACCTAACCAGTCAGCTTTGAAATATAGCACATTCCAAAAGTTCCATAAACTATACATAGATTCATTAGTATCAATAAAAGTCATGAGATCTGTTTGCATTTCAGTGTGGGGAACCATTGACAGAGTTACAATTTCATAAATTATTTGTGGGATATAGGGTGGGAAGAAGGAGGAATTGTGGTATGTTTTGTAAATTTGATTGTATTACAAAGTATTTATCAGACATAAGTATACAGCTCAATGGATTTTTCACAAAATAAACATAACCACATAACCAGCACCCAGATCTAGAAACAAAACATCTAGAGCATCTCAAAGCTCTCTTCATGCTCCCAACAAAAGTAACCACTATCCTGACTTCTAACACAAAAGGTTAGTTTTGTCTGTTTATAAACTTTGTATAAATGGACTCAGACAATGTGTATAAGTGTATATGTATCTGATTTTTCTTCTTTCTACCACATATTTGTGAGATTTTCCATGTTGTTGTATGGGACACCAGTTTGTTCTTTCTCATTGCTGTGTTGAATTGAACTATGTAAATACCTCCACAATGTTCATCCATTCTACAGTATATGGATATTTGTGTTGCTTCTAGATTGGGGCTATAGCAAATAGACCTGCTATGTGCACTCTTATACACATCCCTTGGTGATGGGTAAGTATTGGAATTTGAGTTTTTAATCTTGGACTAGGTGAAAAGAGGAGATTCACCCATTCTATCATTTCATGTGCAGGAACCTTGGATAAGCATAAAGAGTTGGAGGACCTTGTGTCTAAGTTTCTGAACGTAGAAGCTGCTATGGTCTTTGGGATGGGATTTGCAACTAACTCAATGAATATCCCTGCACTAGTTGGAAAGGTAAGACTTTGTTAACATAATTGTCTTCTGCTGTGTTATTCCTAAGAGGTATAACTCTGAGCAGATCCTCTGTTAGAAGTATGACTAAGAAGTTTATTTTCTTAGGAAAAGCTGATTGAATGTCCAGCTTTTTAAATTCATATACTGGCTTAATCCAACAAATCTCTTCATCATGATGTTCTGGTTATAGAATTGCAGCCCTACATGTAAGTCAAACTTCAGTGACAATTTACCAAAATAAATTTTTAGGATCCTGAGTCACCACTTTCAATGTAGCAAATGATTATTAAGCAGTTATTTTGACAAAACATTTACTTGTGTAATTCATTCACTTATTCATTCAATAAATCACTTGTTGAGACTCTACTAGGTCCCCATATAAGGCAAGATACAGGGCATACAAAGATGAACAAGATCTTTGTCCTGTAAATTCATGTAGTCTACTGTCTCATGGGAGAAACAACACACCAAATAACATAGGATGAATACCACAGAAAAAGGTATGTCCATAAATGAGGAAAGACAACAAAATTGCCCCTTAAGTCTTCTTGAGAAAGGCTGAGATGCCTGTGCAAATTAAGTGATATGAGAACAGAATCTGTTTCTCATCTATTAACTAAGTTATTTCCTTAAGACATGGAAGAGGGAGCCACATGTGTAAAGCATGGAGGTGTGGAAGAATTAGAACATAGGAGAGTAGATAAAGAGACCAGAGTAGGTAAGTAACAAATTTTAGAGTCTTGTACTATAAATCATACCAGAGTGTTTGAGACTCTTCCATAGAAAAACTGAGAGTTGGTTGGTTCATTTTAAGTAAGCAAGTGCCATAAGCAGATATATATTTTAAAAAAAATCTGACTCATGACAACTAAGTACAATATATGATCTTTGATCAGATTCAGCATTAAAAAAAAAACTAGAAGGAAAGAAAATGCCTACACAATTCATTAAGTTATTTTTAGGACAGTTGGAGAAATTTTAATTTGAACTTTATATTAGATGATAGGACTGTATGAATGTTTAATTTTTAGTGTGTAATAACTGCATTGTGATCTTGTAGGAGAATATCCCTGTTCCTAGCAGATTCATGCTAAAGAATTTCAGGATGAGGTATCGAGGTTTGCAAGTAAATCTCAAATGTTGACCAAAAAATTATAAATACATACACAATGTCTGGAGTATGGAGATTTGAGAATTTTGCTCGCTCTTGCCTCAAAAACCTAAAACATATCATGTATGAAATTTCTAAACTATGAAAGAGAACTCAAAGATTCTGGCTGGCCACAAAAGACAGATGTCTTTTCTTTTTGCATGTCTCTGTGTTTTTAGTGTGCTTGAGCAATTTTATAATTTAGAAATCTTTAAATTAATAAAGCAAAATAATTTTACAAACAGGAATTTATATGCAGTAATTTAAATTGAACTTTTCTCTTTCCCTCAGACTAAACTGCCATCCCTACTTGTACAAATGCAAAGTTTTTAACTGTAAGGAAGTGATGCTCTGTCTAAATAGATATTAATATAGTGAAGAATGAGAATCAGAAATAAGAGCTTGTTTCCACGTCTTGGCTATTGTAACCAGTGTTGCTATGAATATTGGGGTGCATATATCCTTTTGAATTAAAGTTGCCTCTGGATATATGCCCAGGAAAAGGATTGTTGGGCCATATAGTAAGTCTATCTTTAGTCTTTTGAAGACTCTCCATACTGTTTTCCATAATGGCTGCACGAAATTATAGTCCCAACAACAGTGTAAGAGGGTTCCCTTTTCTTCAGCATTTATTGTTTGTGGACATTTTAATGATGGCCATTTTGACTGGTGTGAAGTGATACCTCATTGCAGTTTTGATTTGCATTTCTCAGATAATTAGCACTATTGATCATTTTGTCATGTCCCTATTGGCCATTTGTATGTCTTCATTGGAGAATTGCTTGTTTAGGTCCTCTGTCCATTTAAATGTCCATTGATAGATGACTGGATAAAGAAGTTGTGGTATATTTATACAAAGGAATACTAAGCAGCCATAAAAAAGAATAAAATAATGCCATTTGCAGCAACCTGTATGAACCTGGAGATTGTCATTCTAAGTGAAATAAGCCAGAAAGAGAAAGAAAAATACCATATGATATCACTTATATGTGGAATCTAAGAAAAAGATAAACTTATTTACAAAACAGAAACAGACTCACAGATATAGAAAACGAACTTATGGTTACTGGGGGGGAAAGGGGTGGGGAGGGATAAACTGGAAGTTCAGGATTTTCAGATACTAACTACTATATATAAACTAGATAAACAACAAGTTTATACTGTATAGCACTGGGAACTATATTCAATATCTTGTAATATCTATAATGAAAAATAATATGAAAATGAATATATATATGTATATGTATGACTGAAACAGAATGCTGTACACCGGAAATTGACACAACATTGTAAACTTATTGTACTTCAACAACAACAACAAAAGAAAACAAGAGGTTGAAATATCTTGCTGAAAAGACCCCTGTTTTCCAGTAAGAGTACCATCCCATATAATCCAGAATGGGATTGAAAAACCCCAGAAAATTCCTAATCCACCCAAAAGTTTATTAGTTTTCCTGTCAAACATCAATCCTTTACATGCTACCTGGTGCTTAACCAAGACCTTGAATGACCTTCTCTGCTGAAAACTATATGCAAATGTTTCAAAAAGATGCTATCCCTTAGGAGAATCCCCATCTCCATCAACTAATTTCTCTAGAGGATTTTATCCATATAGACACCAGTTGAATTCTTGGCCTTTTAATATTAAAGAGGATTTGGGGAATCTGTGTTAGGCATCATGAAGTGTTTTCCTGCTCCCACATATGTTTTCCTTTCACTTTATTTATCAGCCCGTTTTGTGTGCTTCTTTTCTACACAGGGGTGCCTCATTTTAAGTGATGAGTTAAACCATGCATCTCTTGTGCTTGGGGCCCGCCTCTCAGGTGCAACCATAAGGATCTTCAAACACAACAGTAAGTGTCAATGTCTATCCAACATGTACCGCTTGCTTTTAGATAAAAGTAAAGATGATTGATGGAGGTTTGTCCTTGCTCTTCAAACTAGGAGCTTAGCCTAATGAAACATAGTTATGTTTATATTCACTAGGGGCTTGGTAACCTCTGGTGACCTGGGACAAATGGTTGAAATTCATTAAACACCCAGATTGCTAAGTGTAACCCGAACCCATTAGTGTCGCTACTATTATTAGGGGTCTTGTGATGTTGCCTCTGAGAACATGACTGATCTCTTAGGCTGTGTGTAATTATCATAAATGTAAATTGCTTCTTTTTTTTTGACTCTATCTTGGAAAAATTTGAAGACTTAAATTTTGTGTAATAGGTAAAAAGTGATCTTGTTCCTTAGCATAAGTACCTCCTTTTACCATCCCCTGCAACACGAACCATCTAATCAACTTCATTGCTGTGTCCTTTCTGGCTCCAGGTTGTGAGGCTCGGTGCTGAGCTCAGGGTGGCATGGGAAGTATTAGGGAATACTTAGAAGGAGGTGCTGGTGGATACTGAGATGTCTTGTCCAGCTCTGTGCCTGATTTGTTGCATCACCTTGTGTAGATCCTTTCATCTTTCTTGTACTTAGTTTTCCATCTGTGAAATGAGAGGGTTGATCTATATGATGTGTAAGGATCCATCTAGTTCAAAGTTCCTGATCCTAACTCTTCATTTCTGTCATCAGAACTCCCCCTTCATTCTGTGTACATGCAAGTGTACACATGCACACACACGTGTACACATGCACACACATGCACACACACACACACACACATACACATTTCCTCTCTCTTCCTTCTCACCACTTTCTCTCCTGCTTTCCCTTTCCCTCTGCTTTTCCTTGTTCCTCTTCATTGGTACTCTCCCATTGTTCTCCAAGGAAGTAACAAAGACTGAAGTAAAGAGAAGAAAACAAAGAAGTCAGGGAGAAGGATTGTTCCAGTCTGTCGTACCACCTCACAGAAATCTCAGGCCAAGGACAGCTGTCCTGTGGGAGAGGACAGCAAATGCATGGGAGCATTCTAAAGTGAACCTCCTTTTCCAGCTTGTAGACTTATTCTAATGAAAAATCTCCTCTCTCACTGAGGAGATGAGGCCTGGCTACATGTTTACTGAACCATCTTCAGCTGCTATGCAAAGATGAACACCTTGGAGTGAAGGTCAGTGCCAGGCCCTCTGTAAGAACCACACTTGAGGCCCCTTAGACCTACAGCTTGATGATGACATTTAGCTCAATGTTAATTCAAAATATGTTGGCTCCATTTCTTAATTTTGCATCAAACACTCAATCTTGGCTTTAGTCTTTAATAAACCAAGTTCAATTCTTTCAGTTCTGTTTTATTTATTGCCAATTGTCACATCCAGATTCAAATTACGTTTACAATGTTGGGAGTAGACACCTTTTAGGGATTCAAGATATTAATTTGTTAGGAGACAAAGGAAAATATTTTTGATGTTAGCATAATGTGCTATGTATGCCCTTTTGATTCTTTGGCAAAGCAGGTAATTGGTGATCAAAGATTCTGTCTACTTGAGGAAGGATAAAGGGAATAGTTGATAATTATTCAACAGTAGTGCCATCCATGGATATGGTTAAATGTGATGATCTCACTCTTGGAGGGAGATATTTATCAATGTCAACCTCTCATTTCCTCACTCCATTCTACTGAGATCAGTGGAATGCCATTACTCTAGGTGCACAGTAGAAGCATCTAGGGAATATCTATGAAAGATCAATGACTTAACTCTCCTCCAGAACAACTGAATCCAAATATCTGGGTTGGGACCAAGGCAGCTGCATTTCTTCAGAACTTCCCATGTTATTTTGATACATAATGAAGGATACAAGCTCTAGAAACTTATTTTCTAACCTCATTTAGTCTAGGTTGACCTTGATCTTGCCAGTGTGCCCTGAGATATATCAGCAGACACACAGTATCATATTAACTATCCTCACTCTTCCTCTCTCTGTGAGGAGTACTCTTTTACACTCCTGGCCTAAAGTTGGCTAAGGTTGGTAAAGGGAGCCAGAAAATGGAGAAAAATTGTTCTCAGCCAAAACTTGTTGAGCATTTATCAAACACCTCATCTGATTCAGGCACTATATTAGGCCTTTGGAGAACTATAAAAATGGCATGGTAATATCTTAGCTGAGACCTTATAATCTAGTGGGAGGGGCAAATATATACAAAGGTAATTATCATGGATTAAAGTGAAAAAGGACCATGATGACATGAAGCAGTGGTTAAGAGTAAAGGTTTCAACTACTGTACCTTTCCACACTCACTGGAATAGTTAAATCTAAAAGATCAGTTAAAATCCAAAAGATGGCAACACCAAATGTTGGCAAAGATTTAAGCAACTAGCAAATGAGAGCAACTAGATCTCTCACCTATTCCTGGTGTAAATGACACAACTTTTTTGGCAAACTCTTGTAAAACTAAACATATCCCTGTACTATGACCCCGAAATTCCACAGCTCAGAATTTCCAAGAGAAATGAAAGCATATGTTCACAATAAAGGCTTGTACAAGATTGTTCATAGCAGCTTCATTCAGAATAGCTCAAAACTGGAAACAACTCAAATACCTATCAACAGGTGAATAGGAAAATTAATTATGCTTTATTAATATACTAGAACACAATTCTATAATAAAGAGGAATAAATTAATGATACACACAACATGGGTGATACTCAAGAAATATTATTTTTAATGAAATAAATCATGCACAAAAGGGTACATACTATATGAGTTTGTCTATGGAAAAGTCAAAAACTGATGAAACTCATCTATGGTGATATAAATAATAACAATACTTGTCTCTCCTGGAGTGGGTTGGAATTGGTAAAAAGAGGCATGGAAAACATTAAAGAGTGAAAAAATACTTGATATTTTGACTGAAGTGATGCTTATATTCTTATTAAATTTTGCTGAATTCTACACCCAAATCTGCATGTTTTCTTGTAAATAGGTTTTCCTAAAATTATAATTATCATAAAGCATATATAAATTTAACAGCATCGTTTTGTCATTTTAAAAAGTATAGACTGACCCAGGCATTTGTGTCTTTGTTCTATAGCCTATTAGTATATGGTCCTAGGCAAATTACTTAACCTTCTTGCATCTCTATTTACTAATTGCAAAAATGAGGATAATTATGATGCCTGAATCGTTGTATGCTGTGGGAGGGATAGAGAGCACTTAGTACATATATGGTTATGGAAACTACTGATTTGTTTGTACCTGCTGCATTACTACAATTATTATTACCCTCATTATTGTCATCACCAGTATCACTAAGGGACAGTAGAAAACATTATGGTGACTCGGAAAAATGCAGAGGTCATGTCATCTTGGAGATTGCATGAAACAGATAACATTTGCTATAGACTTTGAACAATTAAGAGAATTCTAATCAGAGATGAGACAGGACATTTCAAACAGAAGACTAATCTGGAGTGTGCAAAGACAGAAAGACCTCCAGTGTGTCCTGAGTGTGAGGCTGAACTACTGGAGAGGAACCTTGAGCCCTTGGCCAGTTAAAATAAGGACACAAACATGTATATACAAGCTAAGGTGTATGTACTTCAAGAAGCAGTGAAAGGTGCTTAGGCAGCTCAGCTTTGTGCCATGCTGTTCCTTGGAGGAACTTTGCTCAAAGCACTTAGTGGCCTTTCCATCTGTCCAGTGGAGATGAAAACAGAAATACAAGCAACTTTGAGTCAGGTTAAAACTTTGAACAGCATTGGATGGAAAATACTTTTTCTTATGGATTGTAAAGACGGACTCACCTCAAAGCAGTTCTTTACACCCTCTAATGACTCAGGAGCCAATTCCAATGTGTGGAGGGTTTTTCATATCACCAAACAATTCTTCAACACCAGCTGGGCATCCTGCATACAATTCAATTTGCTTCTGACACTACCTACCTGGTGATAGCATCAGACTCCACAGGTTAAGGGCTCAGTCCCACAAGACTGTCCCCACTTCAGATGCCAATTGCAAGTCCAAGTTGTCACCTGTGCTTCAGACTGACCAGCTAAAAATCAGAGGTTCCCATAACCCCCTCTTTGGGTTTAACTAATATAATATGCCAAAACAGTTCACAGAACTCAGGAAACCAATTAACTTACTAAATTACCAACTAATTATTAAAGGATGTAACTCAGCAACAGCTAGATGGAAGAGATACATAGGGCAAAGTAGGTGGAAAGGTCGGCAGGACTTTCCATGCTCTCTCCATGAATCTCCAGGCTGGTGTTCACCAACCTGGAAGCTCTCTGAACCCTATCCTTTTGAGGTTTTATGGAGGCTTCATTACATACACACAATTGCTTAAATCATTGGCCATTGGTAATTGAACTCAATTTCCAGACCCTTACCCTCCCCAGAGGTTAGAAGGTAGGAATGAAAATTCCAACCCTCCAATCACAGAGCTGATATCCCTGTCAACCAGCCTCCATTCTCAAGTGCTTTCCAAAAATCACTTCATTAACATAACAAAAGACATCAATAAAGTTCTTATCCCTTTAGCAACTATGTGGCAGGAAGATTGGATGAAAACCAAATACATATATTTCTTATTCTAATTCACAGTATCATACCCTCTCTATCCTGCATTTATTATTTTTTGGAGTTCAGCCCAAATTATACCACTCACTAGTCCTCTCTTGGAGGTTCTATAGAAATAATGATGATAGATAGATAGAGAGATAAATAAATAGATCAATGTTAGGTCAATAGATACAATGATAAAGCAAATGGGATGATGTGTTAATAGATGAACCTGGGTAAAAAGTACCTGGGTGTTTTCTGTAGTGTTCTTATTCTTGCAAATTTTGTGTTAGGTTTGAAACTGTTTTTTTAAAAAAAATTAATTCCTTAATCCTTTGCTGAAATTACAATTCAGAAATTTCATTTCACTTTCCAGTTTTATGAAGCTCTTAAAACATTTAGTAACTTATT